TTTAACTCTCCTATTAACCTGAAATCAGAAAATAAAAAAGATTATCAATCTACAATTATGTCGTAATGTCCGGAAGTACGGAAAATTTACAAAAACATTTCTTTAGTCCATAAGAGTCAAAATACTCATTTCTCCAAAAATAATTCGAATTTTCTAATATCCTATCGTAGACATATTCTTCAATAGTTAAACTTTGAAAATTGATTTTTTAAATTTCTAGACCAGAATATCTCCTTAATTGAAATTGTTTATTTTATTAGTTGTCGATAAGGGCCATAAGAGTCAATGTGGGTGAAATGCCATTTAGGAATTTGATTAGATGATGGCAAAACTCATGTTCAGGCCAATCAATCAGGTGCCTTACTCGAAAGTTACAAGTTCATTTAAATTCCATGCCTGTCTCGCCAACATCACTTACATTCGGATCAAATGCACTAGTCATTTCAACCTACTTCATCATTACTGTGTCTATTTACGTCCAGAAAGAGAACTTTTCAACTTTACTCGCAATGTACTTCAAGCGGTTAACTTTGAGTTGATAGAAACGATGGGGAATATTTATCAAGAATTATGAAGCTCACTTACTCCAAAGAATCCATCAAAATATACGTTCAAATTCCAGTAAATGAAATCAATGCATCACATTACTGAAGGACATCCTTTCGACAATTAATGTCATTTGAGTGGAAATTTCTCAATAGTCGAATAGTCAATCAAATACCGTAAAGCTAGTGCATTACTGTGTCTTCTGTGATTTAGAATTCTACTTCGGAAGTTGTTACTTTTATTTAATCAGTAGTAAATAATGTCAAACTAGGGAGCTTTATGATAGTTATCATCAGCCCTTTAGTAGAGTTCAGTCTTCACAGAGGGGAGGAACATCAAATCGAAAAAGTCGAGATGGGGGAGGAGAGGTACAGAAGGGTGTTCTTAAGATGTAAAAGAGGCAGACACAAAGGTAGATGAAAGGTGAGGTGAGAACTGAGGAAGTGGTTGCAAATGACATACAGTGGGGTGATGGCAGTTTGAAGTCAGAAGTCAGCTGCCAGTTAATAGACTTATGGCCGCATGAGCATACGTTGCCCAGGGTGCACCACGTGGAGGTAAGTCTATCGCACACCCCGTCTTCTCAATATTAGAAGAAAGTGGTTGTTCTCCAAGAGGGTGGCATTTATTTGCTGACAACCCACTTTTCCCACCTTTGAACTGGAAGTTATCTCTCCCTGTTTAAGTTTTCCCCTCTTTGTTTATTATCATGCAACTCTATTACCATTAAGATTTTTATTAACTCTCAATTATAAGGAGACACGCATTGTTATGACACAGGGTGTGTTTTACCCAGTAAGCTCAGTGGTCAAAAAGTCAAAGTGCGTAAGGTATTTCGAAAACAAATTGATCTGATCAACTTCGGCCAGTAATAACCTTGGCCCATTCAGAAATTACCATTTTTTGGCTAGTGAATTATTTCTCAACAATAGCAAGCTGACAGTAGGTTGACAATTGGAGGTTTGATACTTAAAATCAAGTTTTGGACAAGGGATTTTAGTGTTTTGAAGTGGTTCCTAAGTAGCAACCCATTTACAAATCGTGCATTGAGACATGACTTGATCTCATTTGAAATGAGCAAATTTATATCGCTTTAGATTAGTCAAACACACTTGATCATATGTGCATCGCAAATTTTGAGATGTACTTGCAATTACATTCAAAACTGGACCTGTTATCGGTGTCAATCAATCAGAATTTAGCAAAAAGTATACTTTTCACTTAAGTTTACATCAGATTACTATTCAAAATGCAAACGAGTAATTTTGTTGGCAGTAGTTTTCAAAATATCGCAAGTTGATATGTGAAACATATGGAGCAACATAGAGTTGTTCTAATCGAAAAAGAAACCATGAAACTGGGTCTTCGTTTTATACTTGTCTTCTGATTGACCGAAGGTGCAGAATGTAGAAGGCCACGTTCATGAATTTTTTATCTCTCCTGCATTTTCTGTCCTCTTCAATTCTTCTACCGTTTCAACCGAATTCCACTTGTTGAATATGAATTTCGAGTGTGAAAATGTACTCGGGAATCATGCATAATCAAAACATGTTTACCAAGTCAATTGGATCAAGCAATTGGATCAGACTTCGGGCTCATCGGTGTTCCCCTCTTAGGTTCTCACTTGTGCTTCGAAAGTTGTTGCCAGTCTTCTCCAAACGAGAGCCAATCTGCTTAACCACGAGTTGGAGGTTCAGCAGGATCAGTTGAGCACAGTTTGCGAGAAATCATTGCTCAACTGCAATTCGAAAATAATCTCCATTACCATCAAGTACGTGATCACGACAGCAAAAGAATCAAAAGCTTAATGATGACTGTCTGTGAATTCAATCGGTGTTTATTCAAAGCCAATTAATTATTGCGCTGCTCTTCTTATCCACCGGCAATGAATTCGGCAGGAAAGTTCCCTACGCTAATCAGCGAGCTTCCGGTGGACATCATTTACTACCTGATTGGCATCTTTTCACATTTACCAATCACAAACGCTGAGAACAATCATTTTGTTTTATCATTCCCGATTGTCAATTTACTACGATAAATAACTTTTTGAATTTGTATCCTTCTAATAAATGAAATAATGCAAATATTCCATTAAATATGGTGGAGTATGTGTTATATTCATTTTCTCAGATTTCGTGAATCTGCGAATAGTAAATGGGTAGGAGTTGTTGAGAAAATTTCCGAATGGAAGATTTTGCATTAAAATGAAAGAGAATGAAGCAATGCTTGACAATTAGAAATGTGCTAATTAATCAATAATAATTAGATAAAGTGAGAACATATTTACATTTGTTTTCAAGTTTCTATTTGACCCAAGATCAAGTTGCCATGACGACATCACCAACAGCTTTTAATCGACAATGATGCATTCATTAATATTCAATAATGCCCCCCAAAATGGAACTTTTATCCTGTATTTTCAAATGGAATGTACTCTCACCATAGTCAATAGTATTAAAGTTTATTTTGGAAGAGTAAATGAGTCATTTTGTTGGTAATATGCATCAAAATATATCTTGTTTATATGAGCATCATTTACATCAGCAAAATGTTGAAACTTTTATTTCGCATTTTTCGACTGAACGTACTTTCGCCTATCATTAAACGAAGAAGGAAAAAAATCAATCCCTTTCATTGAATCAATTGTTTATCAATTTTGGCAGTTATTGTCCTATGAAAATGCACAGCTAAAATGTGAAGTATCGCTCTGTTTCCTATCGTGCCTTATTGAGAATGGGAGTTATTATAAAATACTTTGGTTTCCAATTGAATCACAACCCCTACAAATGAAGTATCAAATCCAAGTTGGCTCATAAAGTGACCCTTACTACTGGTCAATCCTTTGTTGAGCATTCAACATCTGACCTGCCGATTGTGGTAATAATGCAGCTCGTGAGTGAAGATTTTTGCAATGGTGTGCACTCACTCCACAAATTGGAGATGTTAAATTTCAAGCGAAATGTTGGAGATAATGAAAGTGAGATGACTGGCACGTATTTATGAATATCTAGCAGTAATTATATGCAAGTGCTTTTCACAGCGGTTTCGATTAAAGTACATTCAATATTGAATAAGACATGAGGACTAACAAGTGTATGTACACTTTAGAAGTACAGTTGAGAGATAAAAATGCTTGACCTTCGAAGTATTGAGGCGACATCAGTGATGTTGCTGTGGCCTCAGATTTTACCTCCATTTCCCCTTACTTAAATCGCATTTCCAATTCGTTCACTCAATAATATTCCTAATGGGGTGCGTAATAGACTTACCTCCACGTGGAGCACCCTGGGCAACGTATATTCATACGACAAAAATGTCTATTAACTGGCAGTTGACTTCTTACTTCAAACTATCATCACCTCACTCTATGCCATATTCGACAATTTCACAGTACTCACCTCACCTTTTTTCTACCTTTGTGTTTGTCTCTTACATCTTTGAAACACTCTTCTGTTCCCCCCCTCCTCTCAACTTCTTTCAATTTGACATTCCTTCCCCTCTGTGAAGCCTGAAGACAACTAAAGGGCTAATGATAACCATTAAGACGCCTGCCATTCGATATAAATAAATAATATTCCTAATTAAAATAAGCATTCTCTATAATGAGACAATGGAAATAACTGTAAAAAAATGAAACTGACATTTTACATTTTGGAGGATGTTGAGACGATTTTTGCATTGAATGAACTCGGGCGAATTCCCCTCTGTTTCTAATGTGTCCGTATTACCTGCTCATGGCCATAATAAGACGATGGTCTTAACATGTCTAAGTGATTCAACTAATCACTTAATTAAGCCTAATAATCTCAAGCTCAGATGGAGGAAATGTTGGAAAACCACCACACTCATGGTTGTCATCGAATCATCTTTATACGTGACTTTAAGCCTCTGAAGGAACCTCTCAAATCTCCTCTACACCAAACCTCCTCATTATCAGAATTAACCACCTCATTTGAATGCTACTCACGCATTTTGTGCATTTCTACACTGACTCTTCACTTTCAGCCAACCATGTCAATGAACTTGGCACAAATCTAAAGCTCAATCAGACTTTAATGTTTTGCTCATGTTATGAATGACTGTTTCATTTCAATGGTCTTTTACTTTGACCAGAAGACAATCGCACTCAGAGCTCATAATGCTAGTTGGTGAGCATTTGATTTAGCGTTTGATTATTCTCATAATCGCCTGCAATGAACTCATGTCAACAAATAGATTTTTGAATTGTCCATTAGATCTCGTACAGAACAAAATGTAGTGAATAACTGTAACTACCAATGAGAATTGACCCAAAGGGGATAATCATTGTCATTTGCGTGAGAACCAATCAAAATAATAGTAAATGCTTGTTTGCTATTTGTTGCTCATTTTCAGCCAATGAAATCACGTGGACGCTTTTTCCACAAGCATAAAATTAGAAATGATGCATTCCCTGCTGCGAAGCTTGTCTCACCATGTTCTTCTACGATTTTTATCCACTACTCCCTTCATTGATGATGAATTCAGAGAGCACTGACGAACCCCTTGATCTAACTGCATCAGGACACTCGAACCAAGTAAATGGGACTCTTAAAGAAGAGCATAACTCAGGTTTATCAGCATCATTTGTCCCATGTCAACATCAGGTTGGGGCCGAACTGCTCAGCTTTCAGCTTCAGATAAAGCAGCAAGAGGTGGGCTTATTGCGAGAAGGAATGTTTATGCTTCAATTCGAAAATACATTGCTTCACCAACAAGTGCAACAATTACAGCAGCAGAATGAGAGACTTACGGATCACTGCCAAAGAATTCTGTCTTTCCTCATTCCAAGCCCAATCGTGACTCCAACTGAAACATTGCCAACGCAAATCAACACGGCTCCCGTGGAATCCCTTCACGTTACCAGCAATAGTTATTACCCTCCTGGATTCACAACCATCGAAAACAACCACGAGAGTCAATCGTTTTTAATTGACAATTTGCTCCAATAATTTTACACGGTGTATTTGTATTTTTCTTATAAAATTGTAATTGTGTAAATATTCGATTTCTCTTTCATTAACTATTAAAATTGATGGAATGTGGGCAGTATTTAATTGCATGAAAATAGCAGATTTAGTGATATTTGTCACTATCCTCTCGTTGACCTCGGGCTTCACAGAGAGGAGAAGAACATCAGGATCACAAAATGTCGAGGTGGTGAGGGATGGGGTGGGGGTTGGGGGTTGGGGTGTAGGATATGGGATGGGAACAGAAGAGTGATCATGAGTTGTTGAAGAGACAGCCAGACACATAGGTAGTGGAAAACATAAGGAAGGTAAGGTAAGGTAAGGTAAGGTAAGGTAAGGTGAGTACTCTTTGGAGTGGATATATATGGCACAGAGCGGTGTCGTGGTATTTAGTAATCGGAAGTCAACTCTCAGTTCATAGACTCTTTGGTCGTATGAGTATACTTTGACGAGGTGCGCCATGCGGATGCAAGTCGATCGCACACCCCATGTGATTAATATTCATTTTCTCAGATTTCGTGAATATGTGAACAGTCAGTGGAGTTGACTGAACATCTAGGACGTTAGAGTTACTGAGAGATGCTTGTGTATTCCCGATTGAAAGCGTTTACATTGAGACGAGAGAGAACAAAGTGTCCATCGACAGTTGGGAAAGCGCAAACTAATTGGTAATAATTAGGAAAAGAAAGCACATAATTACTTAGGATTTCGAATTTTATTTGTCTTAATGTGAAGATGTCACAATGACAACACCAATGGCTTTTATTCAACAATTTGTGCAGTGAATAACATCTGCATTTTTCGTTCTCTTGATTTCATTGGAGTCATTATCAACTTCATACTTATGCTCTGGAAACTTCTCAATTACAACTATTTCGAATTTTTAATGATATGAAAGAAAGATAATTGGCCGTTTCTGGATGAGATTACTCCCTAAGCATAATTATGGAATCTGGTGTTACTTGGGCTTAAACATACAATTATTCATGACCTTTGCTATTCGACTACCTTTAATTATAGGCTAGAGTATATTGGTATTCGTATTGACTAATACACTAGGTTGCACATATTTCAACAAATTGAGAGAATGTAAGCTCCGAAAAGTAAACTCTAACTAAAATCCAACTGATAAAATGAACAACTGAAATATTCCACCATTTAATTTCAAGTAAAAGCAATTTTGAGAGTTTGGTGAGACCCGGTTTCGAATGCAGGTTCCAAAACTGTGGACAACTTGGAATATACTTTGATCGCTTTCATTTGAAACTGATTTAAAATTCTATTATTATTAATTCAGTCCACAAATTAACTTATTGGCCAATGTCCATTGGCTTCACCCAAGGTACAAATGAAGAATATTTACTAAATCCACAAAATAGTAAATTATTTTCGTTCCTACAATGTTCTATTGGAGAAAGAACTCAATTTCCACGAATGCCCTAAATTTGATGCTAAAATGTGAAGTATTGTGCGTTTATTGAGAATGCGAGTTATTATTATATAATACTTTATTGCCCACTTGCATTCCAACCCCAACAAATGAAGTATCAAATCCAAGTTGGCTCATAAAGTGACCCTTACTACTGGTCAATCCTTTGTTGAGCATTCAACATAGACGTGTTGAAATAAACTGGAAATTTGTCATGTAAATTGAGACACCACCGAGTTATAATGCAAGTCGTGAGTGGAGATATTTGTAATGGTGTGCACTTACTCCACAAATTGCTGATGTTAAATTTCAAGTGAAATGTTGGAGATAATGAAAGTGAGATGACTGGCTCGTATTTATGAATATCTAGCAGTAATTATGTACAAGTGCTTTTAACAGCGATTTCGGTTAAAGTACATTCAATATTGGATAATACATGAGGACTTACAAGTGCATGTACATTTGTAGAAGTACAGTTGAGAGAAAAAATGCTTGACCTTACAAATATTGAGGCGACATCAGTGATGTTGCTGTGGCCTCAGATTTTACCTCCATTTCCAATTCGATCACTGACTTATGTTCCTAATTAATTATTTTCATTGAATGATTAAATGATCGTATTCAATCTTATTGGGTCCTTTTCTTCTCTATTCAACTTTAGTTTATTTACGTTAGAACATTGTAATCTTGCTTGTGTTAACAGGTGGTCAGTTGAAAATATACAATCAAATATACAAATTTACTGACACATGAAGATCTCCCTTGAATTAACAACTTGACCTTTATGTTTTAAGATGAGTTCGTCTAGTTCATCCCTCACATACTGAACCTTCGACTCAGACGAAGATGGTCAACAAACCATTCCCGTCAATGTTGTTCAACCTCTCTGGGAAAGACTTTTTCCATCAACTTCGTGGAACTATCCATATTAGATGCATTTATTATCTTAATTCAAAACATGAACCTCACTTGTTAACTGCTGCATTAAACTTTGCCTAACTATTTAGACTGTTGATAAAATATCGTAAAGCCTACCTTTTGATATAAATAACTGAGTAAAAAACCAATATTTCCCATCATTTCAAAATCCCACACTTTAATCTGTACATAAGATTAATGGGGCTTTGGTTGTGATGAAATAAATATCTTTATCAAGCTTAATTCCATCAAATCACAAGGGAAACTTATCATACTTAATTGGAATTCTTTATTTTATTAGTTGTTTTCATCTTTTCATGTTTCAATTCATGTCATTTAGTAGCGTAGGCTTTACCCGATTTTGCCAAGTGCTTTATGGCACTTCGAGCTGATCTACAAGAAGGATTCGACAACTACTTGCGTCCCTCTTCTTACCTTTTTCATCGCTATCAACCCATTTTACCAACAACTTTAATCTTCAACGGAGCCAGCTTCCAAATGTATTTGACTATCTTTTCACCGTCATTGGCATTTTCGGAATCTCACAAAATGTACAGGAACATATTTTACTCCTTTGTAAACTCTGTCTTTGCTCTGAGAACGTAAATAAGTGCACTTTAAATGTAACCCTTACCTCGAACTATTGGATAGTTCTTTTCGAATTTCTCTCATGCCTACGCTTCCCAATTTAAGTTCAAACCATTGAGAAGTACTCTAACAGCTTTTATCTATTTTGAAAGTGTTAATAAATTAAAGTTTGATTGTATTTCACTTGGATGATGATATTATTCAAGATATCAAAAATGGAAATGTCAAGACGAATTCCTAAAACTTTTACACATTTTGTTTACGGTGAAAGAATTTTACAGTAGACAATGTGTCTTTTTTTAAGCAATTCTTTAATATAATTAGGAAGTAGCACTCTCCCACGCCCCAATTGCTGTCACCAGTTTCATGATCAGGTGTCACATTAGTTTAGTCCATAAGAGTCAAGACCGATTTCACGAACGAACGAGTTTGAGGCTCAGTAAGTGCGTATTAAGTGACATAAAGTATTTCCAAAGAAATGTGTTCGTATAAAATGTCATGAAATGATAAACAAAGGCACAAATTGCATTAAGGGGATTTTCTAGTCTAGAGACATGAATTTTAAGTAATTTTTGAAGTGCTGGAGATAAATGCAAACAATATTTTTGTTATCAATTTTTAATACATTATTTATACACTTTAGAAGCATACGAAAATATAAAGAAGTAAAAAATTCGAAATTCCGTTAGTTATCAGCTGATGGATTGGGGCATCTCAAAAATTTGGAGCGTGACCATACCCACGATTTTAACTCTCCTATTAACCTGAAATCAGAAAATAAAAAAGTTTAGCAATCTACAATTATGTCGTAATGTCTTGAACGACGAAAAATTATCAAAAACATTTTTTACAAAATGGCTACTCCCTAAAGAAAAAAAACTTTAAACAACATTTTTGAACATTCTTCGATTTTTTAAAAATAGCTAAAAATAAAATTTTGGGATGGCCGTAGTTCCGGACATAGACGAGTCCCTAAAGAAGACTCTTAAAATTTCAAGTAAATCGGTTTGGCAGAACCTGAGAAATCGTGGGTGTCAGATTCAAAAAAACAGTTCTGAGAATAATCCGTATAAAGTTTCAAGTAAAATGTTTTCAGTCTAAGTCATAAAATTATATTTTTAACTTACATTTATTCAATTTGCCATCCCTGCTGCATACACCGAATCTTCCTTGAATTCGAAAAACAATTTTCGGCGTATCTGTTTCGATTCGAGCAGTTCTAGCCTCCTTTGATGCGCTGGATGCTCGTATCTCGGAGCGGTCAATCCGGCCGTTGTCTCGGCTGATACCAAATGCATGCGCTTCTAGACAAATTTTCACTCCCATAATCGTCATAATCTTCAATATCGGTATAACGCCTTCCTTAAGAATACACACAGCAATAAATGTTGCAATTTCAATGATCTGAGACCGGAACAGACCCGGAATGGATATGCTTTGGAGCGAAAGTCCATATCAGCGAGTTTAGAGACTCATTAATATTTTGAGTCTCTCAACCCAAACATCGAGTCAATAACTCTTCTGATGGTAAACTCACGTAAATTGGATTTATAATTTCCAAAATTTTATCACATAGTGGAGCAATGTCGTGGTCAAACTCGTCAAACTGCATTGTAATGCAAATTTTGAACCCGAGTCCGCGTTGAGCTCTCCTTGAAAATCTAATCTCGTTGTTGCATGTAGTACACGAAACAAAGGAAGGAATCGCTAAAATGACCGTGAAAAACCCCAAAACACAGTAACCGTAATTATTATTTATGATCACCTCTTCATCATTTCATTTCCTCAATTTTGCTGCTCATGCACTCGTAAAACTGGTGTTTCCTGTTCCGTGAATCTATTGCCGTGAAATATATGTAGCGATAGATAGATAGATAGATTGGTAGGTAGATAAAACGGAGAAAAGGGCTTACTAATAAATATGGATTTAGGTAGTCGGAGAACTCTTTATGTCTTTTGTTCGATTCGTTGCAGCGCAATCGGTTTGGATCCCTGTTCAGCAAAATACTCATTTCTCCAAAAATAATTCGAATTTTGGAAAATCCTC